TTCAGTGTTAAATCCTAGCACCTTATTAATTCCATTATTTCTTATTTTTTGAGGAGACACACAGCTCTAAGGTATGGAAATTCTCTGTCTAAAATACTGCTTCAGCATTTTCAGAGCCATTTTTCCTTTTCTCTTTAAGTGCCAGTAGTCTCAGGGCCTGCCTGTGAGTTACATCACTGCCGTGACCCAGCAAAGCCAAGGGCCGGATCCCGAGGATCCCAGCCCGGCCCTTCTGCCGGGATTTGCGGTCACCTGACCCAGCCCTGGGAGCGCCTCTGCTGTGCCCTCGGCTCCTGCGGGCAGCCACAGCCAGTTCATTATGTGCTGCCTCTGCTCCTGGTGCCTTCACAGGCTCTGGAGAATCCATGGTGAAATGCTAGATGAGGCACAGGATTCTTTTGTTTAAAGGTTAATGCTTCCTAGGCTTGGGAATGCTCGCAACCCAGTGAAAACAGTTTCATAATGAACTCTAAATACTCAGAGAAGTACAGAGCTGCTCTCCAGATGATTACTGCTCAGGCCTTTTCAAGCAGCATCATTTCTTGGTCTAAAAATACTAATTCAAACTAACACGTAATTGTTTTAGCAGTGGATTAGGTGGGATTTGTACTGAACTACTCTAAACTGCAATGTGTGGTTATGCCATGTTGGGAACTCCTTCTGTCAGAAGCGAAATGCCCTGGAGTAGTCCTGTCAAAGGGAAATGAGCAGATGGGTTTTTACTGAGGAACAGATATGAGGCCTTGATTGAGTTACAATTTAGAACACTTCTGCTCCTGTCAGTAGAAAAGAGGTACTTCAGTTTAGATCTTGATTTTTGTCCAATACTTCCTGACAGCCTGGGATGAAAAAGTCCTTCTAAGATCTTCCAAGGTTTGTTAAAATTTTTTTTGTTGCAGCCTTAAAATGCTGATTTCTGTGTGGTATTTGGGAAGCACTGCTCTGAAGTCATCTCTGAATGGTGAGACTTTCTTACTTCCAAGCAGCCTTGTTTTTTTTAATATGCCTGTTCCATGTCACATAGCTCTGAATTCACTATTCTTAACGGATTTGTTTGTTTGGTTTTTTTGCATTTTTTTTTAACACTGAGGAATTCTTGATTCTCAGCTAAGTAATTCTTTCTGTTTCAGGCACATGGACTCCATTTAATCCAGCAACAGTCAGATCAATTCTTGGTGAGTGTAGTTGTGTGATGTGGCATAGTCCTAAGATAATGTTTTGTGATCTGCTCAGCTGATTGATTGAGAATGCTCTCAATTGCTACACTGTTTTGTTGTTTTTTCCTCAGAGTGCCCAGCAGTAAGTTAAATTATTTTCCCTTTTGATTAATAGAGAATGCCCTTTGCATACGCACATGTGCACATGTCAAAATAGCTTGAGAAAATGTTACTGCATAATTGATTAGATAATAAATGTAATTTATGCATGAGGAGATTGTTATCTTAAATTTTCTAAAAAGATATTATGTAAGTTGTCTTGGGAAGTAGTTTTTCCTATCTTGAATTTAAGCCTATGTTTTACTCCAAAAATACCAAACAGAACCTTTACAAAGCTTGAATTCTGTTAGTGTCTAAACTAATTGCCAGTAATGTGGAAGGTGCTGGTGGTAGAACAGAAGGATGAAGATTCAAGCACAATAAATCAAATCTTTTCTGTCACACAGTTCAGAAATCCAAGGACTACATTTTTTGCTTTGTTCTCAATAAGTGTTCAGCAGCAGCCTGAGTTCCATTGCTGGATGACATGTAAAGATAACACCATGAGTAAATCAAATGCAGATGAATATCCCAGCACTGTTGGAAATTATGTCAGACGTTTTAATGTGTCCCTGGAAAAGAACAGTCCACCCCTCTGCCCATTTTGATTATTACTGGATGATCAATCAAGCCCTCAGTATTTTTGAACTGAAAATGAAAAACCAGGAAAAATAAACATTCTGTGATTTATTCTGGTATTTTTATCTTGGTTTATTTTTTTTTCCTTCAGTGGATGACTGCTGCTTTTTCTTGGCAGGACTTTGCAAATTACCACTTGCATTTTAGCAGTTTCTTTTCTCCCTTCAGTACCTTCCACAGAGCACTCTTGATATCTACCTAAAGTCCTGGCAGATCTTGCTGAGGAGTTGTATGACTAAGGTTTTATATGTGTTTCTTACTTTTTATTTCAGGCATGTTTGACAGAGAAAACAAAGGGGGTGTGAACTTCAATGAATTCACAGGAGTCTGGAAATACATCACAGACTGGCAGAATGTCTTTCGAACGTATGACAGAGACAATTCTGGAATGATTGACAAAAATGAACTAAAGCAAGCACTAACAGGTTTTGGTAATTCATTAGTAATTACAGTTTTTATGACTAGGTTATGTCATAGAATGAGCTGCTTACTGGTGCTGTTGCAGAGCTGTACTGCTCTGACAAATGTCACTAAAAATGAGGTAGGTGAAGGGCAGCTTTCCTTTTAGGCACAAGCTACCTTTTAACAATGTCCATGCCAAAGGCACATGTTTTTTAAAGCTCTTTTCTTAAATAGAGAAAAGGAAAACGTTCCTGATACATGTCCTGGCACATCCAGTTCCAGTCTCCTCTGTGACAAGCTCTGAGGGTTACCAGTGTATCAGGCTAAGTCTGAACTAACAGGGTACTTGATAGAACTTGCCACCTTTTAAACAAGGCCAGCTGTCCGTGCTGTGAGAGCATTCTGGTGGCTAAGGAACTTTCATTCCAGTCACTTCACCTGGAAAGACTTGAACTGCAGCCCTAAACCATTCCCTCAATCAGTCACCTTAATCTGTAATTATAGTTAATGTGACTCTGTATATAATTATTATTGAGCATGGGTTTTATTGCATGCATCTTAGTTTACAGAGATATTTACCAAAAAATAGTCATTGTAACTCCTTACTGTTTTCTGGTTTTATTACACATGCCTGCTAAACAACCTTGTTCTTTTTATAGAAGGACTGCAGTAATTGAAACCTTCTAAAGTATTTCTCTTTTTCCAAGGTTACCGACTGTCTGATCAGTTCTATGATATCCTTATTCGGAAATTTGACAGACAAGGAAAAGGACAAGTTGCTTTTGATGATTTTATTCAGTGCTGTGTTGTTCTACAGGTAAGAAAAGAGATGTACTTTGATGTCAGTTGGAAAAAAAAAAGCCTTTTCTTAAGCTTTTCTGGTTCTCACTTTAACAGTGGATAAGAACTTGGTTTTATTTATAGTAAGCCATTTGAATTAAGTGTATGCTAAGTGCTAGAAACATCTTTGTGTATTGGTCTTCATTAGCAATTCCTTTGTGTCTCAGGTAAATTTGATACAATGGATGAGGGACAAAAAAGTGTAAAATAGTATCAGTGTTTGACACTCTCTGTTAGTTTAATACAGACTTCAGAGCTGATCTTGCAAGGGTAATGGTAAAAATACACAAAAAACCTTCCAGTCTTTCAGTGACAGAGTGAGAGAGAGAACATGGAGGGAAAGCAGTTCCCTGTAAAAGTCACATCTCTCTTATTTAGACACATCAGTCACCTTTGCATTCATTTGTAATACAAGGCAATTATGGTTAGTTGTAGACTTGAACTCTGCTAAAAAGGGCTTTAAATGGAATAATCACTCAGCTGATGTTAATGAAACCATGCTGGCAGTTGTTCTGGTCCTTTGTACTGCCTGGCATCTCTGGGGTTATACAGAGACACCTCAGATGGCAATGGCACATGAAGCATATTTGCCTAGAAGGCGAGATATGCACAAGGTATGCATTGGATTCTGTTTCCAGATGACTCAAACACTGCATTGTTTTTTCCCCTGCTTTAAAGCCAGTTATAAAAAGCTGTCTGGTCTATATAGAAGGTAGCTTTAGGTATTGCATTATTATTGCAGTGAGCTGTCTTATATATAAAGACTGTAAAATGGCTACAGGGGGGATGAACAGAAAGGGTTCATAAAGCCCAGGTGGCAAGAGGAGTGTGTTGCAGTCTGAAGCTTCCCCTAGAACAAAAGTGTCTCTTATTACTTGTTCTCTCCTCCTCAGAGGCTGACTGATGTGTTTCGTCGATACGACACTGACCAGGATGGCTGGATCCAGGTGTCCTATGAGCAGTACCTTTCCATGGTCTTCAGCATCGTATGACATGGATAACCAGGAATTGCACACTGGCATTACATAGACTGGAGTTGCCAAATCATCCTCTACTGAATAAGATTATTTATGTATTATAATGGATGTAACATCACATTCTTAAATTTTGTATGTTGGTAATCATTGTCAGAATCTGTACTTGAGTTGGTTTTATTTTGTATTATTGTATGATATGACCATCTCTGCTTACTGTAGTACAGAAAGCACAGAATCTAGATTTAACCAGTACAATGCTGAACTCTTACACATATCCTTACCTCTTACACATATCCTGCATGGGAAAAATGACTCTTTAGAAATGCCAAATTAAAATCATGCTTGTTAGTTTATATCAGTTGAAAGCCAGAAGTTGCACAACATGTTTTGCATGTGCCTTACTTTTATAAGAGTTTAATGTATTAATTTTTAAATACAGAATTTAAAATTAAGTAAAAATACCAGGTCAACTTTCAGTCTGTTTCACTTTTGTACAGCTTTAAGGGGATGGTGATTTTATTTCTGTATTCTCATTTTCTGCAGTTCAAGGATCTCTCCACTTGGATGGCCTTTTTAAATTTTATTTTCTAGCTGCCTCCTTCTTTCAGGGTATCTTTGGGATGGCTTCAAATACAACTTCTTCTGACCTGTGAAAAAGGTCACACTGCATCTCCCTTGAGAAGTTCCCCTCAAAAATGAACTCTGACTCTGAATATGCTCTTTTTGCTTAGTTGTCTCATTTGACATCAGAAGTCTTCCTTTTTGTGCTGAAGCACTTATTTGAAGTGGCCTTGAATTGACAGTCAGACATTCTTGTAACTTTGCCCTACATCTCACCATTTACAGCTAATGAGAGAGAGTGGAAAAACTCAAGCAAGACAAGTAATGACTGTCACAAACCATCTCTTGCAGTAACTCTTGGAGGAAACAAAGACAACGAGAGTTACAATGTTACTTCCATGTGACCCTGAGATTGGCTCAGATGGTCACAGAATGGTACAAATAACACCAAGGTCACACATTCAGTCTCTGTATGGTCCATTCACTGAACAGCTGGACTTAGTGATTCTTGTGGACTCTTTCCAACTCAGATGATTCTGAGTCTGTCTCACCCACATTAGAGTGTCTGGTGTCAGGCTGAAGGCAGCAAAGTGGCAACTGTGCAACTGTTACAAAGCATTTGTCATGTGAAGAAGCTGCTACTATTTGTCAAGTGATACGCAGAGCCTCAATGACAGCTCAGCAACACTGAACACTCTTCTGGTGTCAAGTATGTGGGGGAAAACCTATGGACCCCAGAGCATAAGCACCCTGAAACAAGGAGATGGCCCAAAGCACTCTGGGTGTCCTCACCCAAAAGGCAAGGAATTGGTTTTGGGTGAGGAGAGAGATAGGAGTAACAACCAGTGTCAGAAACCACCTCATCCAACAGCTGTGAAAGTTACTTACCTTGAAGAAAACAAGGGAAAAATACTTCCACCAGTTACTCTTTGAACCTTCCCTCCCTGGAAGGCTGAGATAATAACTATATATGCTCTCTCCAGAAACAAAACAAGAGAATTCTTTTGAGAATTTCTGGGCTCAAAAGAGCTCCCCTGTTTCTTTCCACTAAGGAAGCTGCCCCTCTGGATCATACATCCAGATAAAATCCAGTAATTCTGGGAACTGTTTTGAGGAGTAAGTCCATGGTACAAACTAAAAAACTGCAATTTGAGAAACTTGCCAAGTTGTCTGCCCTGAAAGATGCCTCCGTGTCCAGCTGACCTTGTTGTATTTCACTGCCCTTGGTGCAGAACAGCTGACTCCAGCCCTTCCTAAAGAAGCATCACTAATGCAGAGAATCATCAAGGTGGCTCTGGACTGGAACAACTCTTGTCCCACTGGGAAACACACTTCTAAAAATGTGAAAGGCAGGTACACCACACACCAAGAAACTGACTAAAAGCGGACCATTTATTTCCAGTCCAAGACATGTTCCAGTCTGGGTTTGTGTGACTGGCTTTCTAAGGAAATTGGAAATTTGCTCCAAGGGCTCAGGTGCATTCTGAGAACTACTGCCTCCATGCCAAGGCCTGTGATGCAGCTGCAGTGGTGCTGATGGTGCCAGGCATCCGGTGCTGCTCTGCAGGCTGGCAGGAGCCACTTGGTGAGGTGGAGTCCAGACAGAGTTCTGCTCCAATTCTGTACTACTTAGGAGCAAGATATGGCAAAGGGCTTTCTTGGCAGTAAGAAGCACTCAGCACTCTACAGTTCAGGAAAGCTTTAGCAAATCAATGCTGTCTTACTACTCCAACTCCAACAGCAAGAACTGTTTCCCCAATGCAGGACTCTGCACAACAACAAAGGAAGGACAGTAACTGTTGCCCAGAAGGAAAAATTACAGAACCTGTAGGTGCAAAAAGCATCTAATCTGGGTGGAGCTCATCCAGCTACTGTGTGTCACTGGGGTATACAGTGATGGCAGTAAAATCCAAAAGGGAGTGAGAAATGAGGAAAAGAGTTCCCTGCAACAACCTCAAATGAAAAGGTCTTAACTTGAATTAACAGAGTTGCAGCAGTAATATTTCCTAGCAACATTTTTTTCTACAGTTCCAGAATTTTAGTTGCACTACACTTTCTGTGAGGAAAAAAACGATGCTAGTAACATTTGTGTAAATAACTTCTGGTAATTTTTAAATGTAGATATAATGACAAATCAATCCTACAGACTTGTAAATCAAAACTCTGGCAGACACCTGTGGTAGAAAAAACAATTTTCCCCTTTCAGCAAGAAGCTTGAGTATGTAATTCAGTGCATGGAGGTGTATGGCACAACTATGAGGTGTGTGATGTTACAAACCACTCCAACACTTCAGTAAGTATGAGCAGTGAACAGGAACGAAACACAGTGAACAGGAACGAAAAAGGAAAGCAGATCTTTTCAGATGCAGAAACAAAGTAATGACAGAAGGAAAATTTTAGGGAATTGAGTTTACTTATGCTCAATAATAAATTATTTGGAATTGAGTTTTTATTAAAATTTACATAACAAGATCCAAAATGTTTTATGACAGCTCATGAAGACTAACCCTGCTTCAGCACCAGTATTTAATGCACAGAGACACAGTTCCAGCATGGGTGAGAAGAAAAATGATAGTTCACAATGCAGCAGTGAAAAGGAAAACAGACACTCAGGAGTAAACTGTCTCACTTTACTTCTTTTCTTCAGCTCCATGTAAGCTGGTTTTAATTACATAGAGCAGATACCTAAAGCCAGGCACTCATGAGCATGTGGCTCTGATACACCTCATGAACTGGTAAGTACTACTCAGTTAGTACAACATTTTGTTTATTTTTTCATGTTATTTTATCTGATTGCCTTATGGGTTCTACTATTTCTTAATATGCTTTTGCCAGTACAAAGAATCAAGAATTTTTATTTTAGCATGGGTTCATCCACCAAATGAGTTTTTAGGATAATTTATAATTATTTCATTTTGAACAACATTATTTAAAAATTTGCATGTATTTCTCACCATTTCTTACTCTGCAAACTGATATGCCCTGTTACATACCAGTCCTCTAGTAGAGATTATATTTTCCTCATATAGCATCACATTAACATAGAGAGAATACCTATGCTGTGACATTCTCCTTTCTTTGTCTAAACAGAAATGTAGTGTATCAATTTCTAAAAATATGCTAATTATAATGCCTCAAATTAATGGAACTGGCCTTACATTTGTGTGAAGAAAAGTAAACTTGTATTTTGAATTAATATTCTTCCTAAGTAGGTAGCATAAAAGTAAACCTTTCTTTCTCTTCTGAATTGAGAAGGGTATTAAAAGGATCATTAGCTTTTTGCTGACAGAGTAATTTTAACACATTTTCAAAAAATAACAAAAGATCTTTTTTTTCTGAAAGATACTAAGATATAACAAATACATTACAAAAAAGCCTAAACAAAATAGTATGTTCACCCATTATGTGCAAGTTCATGTTCCAGCTATATTTCACATGTTAAAAACTTAAACCCTACCTCCCTTTACCTCTCCCAAGCCAGTCAAGCACAGTTAAATGCAGTCTCTTTCCTGAAAGCCAAGTGGTGGAGATTCTCAAGTCTCTTCATCTGTTTCCAGTCCAGCTGTTGCTCCTTAATCTTTCTCTCTAGCTTCTATTAGCACGTTGACGAATGTCTGAATATTTACTTCTGGAAAGGGGCAATAAAGACATTTAGAGTTACTTCTATTTCATAATATTTCCATAACACAACACGGAGAATGTGAATGTGAAAGTTTTACCATTAAGTAGCTACCTAATTAATTAACTAATTCTAGTACCAGAAGCATAGTTTGCATTTGTCCAAACTCATGCCCAATGACAGCTATGCAGTAGCATATGCCCACTTCTCTTTATGTCCCTCTCATAATCTATTTCCAAAGGAGAAACTCTCATTTTGAATAGTGTATCACTATTCTCAACATTAATGACTATTTCTACAGTAACTGGAAAAAAGGAATTGACACTTAATGAACCAGCTCTTTGAAAATGTTTCTCTTGTTATCCCAATGGGTTTTGATTCATTTGGATTATCTATTATAATGCCATCCAGGCTTGGTTCTGCATGCATTCCAGTATTTTTTTCTTTATGCCAATACATTTCCCTCCCATCATTGCAAATCCACCAGTACAACTCATGATACAAACTGCCAGTTAGAAACATGACCAAGGACAAACCTTCCAATTCAGGAAATTTTTGCACTATCAAAACCTCCTCCCACTCACTGCTCCATCTAGTTGCCAAGAGGCATGGTGTCCTCAGAGAAGCAACAATGCCTTTCTTCAGCTGATACAGATGTGAGCAAAATGAGCTCAACTCCCCTGAACAGCTCACCCCATCGCTGCAACCTGCAATCTCCTGCTTATGTTACAGTAACTCATTTCACATGATGGAAACTCATCACCATCTTACTTTGAAGCGCTGGGTGATACGGAGCCAACTGCTTGAGCATCCTGGTCATTGTAGGCACATCCTTCCCTAGGAGTTTGTTCACAGTGTTGGGAGCAAGACCAACATCAGCTCCATCAAACATCTCTTCTGAGCTTCTGAACTGATGGTGATCTTGGTACGAACCACTGGCAGAAAATGAGTCCTGATGTGAACTCCAGTCTCTCTGGTAGCCTGATTTCTGATACCTGAATTCTTGACACCTAGATTCCTGCTTCCAGCTGGAATCCTCGTAACACCTGTAGTCCTCCTTCCACTCATTCCACCTAGTGTCCTGGTGCCACCTGGATCCACCTCTTCCTGAAACAGTAGAAATTGCAGAAGATGTACAAGTATTAACAGACTCATAGTTCTTGTAAGAGGAATAGTTTTGTGAAGTATAATTTGTAAAGTATCTTCCAGATGAAGGATATGAGGCAGAATAATTGAGATAGGATAATTCTTGGTCACTTATATGCCCTGCTTTGGTACACACTTGTTGATTGCTCCATTTTGTATTTTCTCTGCCAAATGAGAGTCTGTTATCACAGAGCTCATTTCCTTGCACATCACTGGATATGTATTCTGCTGAGTATTCCTTCACTGGGCTGCTCTGGTATGAAGAGGCCCCAGGAGCCAAATTCATGGAGGGCGCAGCGTTCCTGAGCTGTCTCAGCCATTGGCTGACACCACTGGCAGGAATGTCAGGCTCAACAGCAGGAGAGTCCCCGAGCAGAGACACACTTGCAAAGTTGTCAGGTGTCAGATGACAGGAGGATGATCCATCATCTGCTTGGTAACTGTTGGGGTGAGCAGGAGCAAAAGAAGCATCTTCAGAATACTCTTCATACTGAGAAAAAACCCCTTGATTCCAGTCAGAACTTCCTGAATAAATAAAGGGTACTTAAGTCAGCAAAATATTAAAATACCAGCTGCAAACACAACTACTTTGAGATTTTATGATGTGTACTTCTGTTCTTCTCCCATTTCTTGCCTTCATGTCTTAACTGAGTTTTGCATTTTTTTACCCAAAAATTCTAATGGTAAATAGATCAGGAAGGGTTAGTGCTTGAATTTCCATGACCTTAACTGCTATAACACTGTTCAGTGAGACAGGGATGTTTTCAGACAGTTAAATCGTTAAAGCTCCAGAAAATTATATCCTGAACTGACTCAGAGGGCACAGACACACAATACACCAGCTAAGAAGTACACTGGCTGGCCATAAAAGTAAATTTTCACAATCTGCACAGGCTCCAGAGTAAACAAACTAGTAGGAAAAAAAAATAAACTACCTTTGTATTCTACATCTGGCCCATAGTGTTCTGGGATGCTTTGCCTTTCTGGAAATTCATCTTGTGGTACTGGCACCAGTGGGCCTAAACTGTTGGCGTAGTTATCCTAGGTAAAGCAAAAGGTCAGAATGTCTGTTTGCAAATGCAAGAATTTAAGAAGTTTACAAATTCTAAAAAGCAACAAATTTCCCATAGAAAGTTAGCAAAGTACAATTTTAAGTGATAGCAAAGTGCATGTGAGGGGTGTGTTGTTACCACATTGCACCACTATTCTCCAGTGTTATTTGAAGAGATACTTTCCTGGAGAACAGAAGGAGGTCTCTGATGAAGACAATGTCTCCTGTTTCAAATTTATTGCCTCATCTCTCTTATCATCACCGGGCCAAAATATAAAACTGCTGCATATGCAAATCCTGCCTCCATCTGGGGAATGCAGAATGGAAAGCCCAGCTGAGAGATGAAGCAACAGAAACAACATTTAACTGGTGCTGGTGGCAGCATTTGCACAGAGATAGTTACTGCAGCTCACCTGACATGGAATATAGAATTGAGAAAACAGTCTGAAACAGCTTTCAGAAAAAAATACATCCTGAATTTTGTGAACCAGTAGCTGCCAGAGTGATTAATAATTCCTTCACAGATTCTGGTCCTTCTTCAGATTTCTTTTTCCATGGGTAGTCAGCCTCTTTGCAAAGAAGCTATCGAGGCTTGTAAGGACCAACAGACAGTCAAGAACATCTTGCCTACCTTAATCTTAACAGATTAAAACTCCCAACTGAGAGCAAAGCTACAAGTTATGAGAAAGACAGGCCTACCCACAGCACCACAAAAGAAAAAAGTGGCACATTTGGGTGACACTTAAAGCCTCAATGATCTTAGAACAAAAGCTAACAAGCAAGGGACCACCACAAAAAGGATGACAACCTGTCATTGAGAAGCAAAATGTTGCCCAGAACAGAACACACACACAAAAAAAGCCAAAACAGATACATGATGATGGAATACTAAGAGAAATGTGCTATGTAATTAATATCTTTGTTACTTAAAAATTGTAAAAGAAGAAAATTGAAGTACATTTAACTGGAGGTTTTGACCATGCCTGAACTGCTACAGGTTGGCAGGGTGTTAATACAATGAGTTTAACCACTCCTTTCCTCCCAATAGTAAAACAATTCTGGACAAGATTAAGTTACTTACTGCTGCTTTCTTTTCACAAAAGGCCTTCAAAGCCTCCATGAGTTCCTGTGTAATGCGAACAATAAGTGTTGCTTCTGAGTCTGAGGTGATGTGAAAAGTCTCCTGTCGAAAAACACGGTTAGAACTGGTCATTAGGATGCCAGAGGGTCAAATACACAAACAGATCAAAGTTACCCTTTGATTTTTGTATAACCAAATTTATACTATTGGTTAACATATGGCATATATGATAAATGTATACAAAAATATCAAAAAATAAAATTGGGAGCATAATTATGGCCTGATAAAAGGTAAAACATAAACTTGGATTTCTGCGCCACTCCTGTACTGTCAAGTCCATAAAAATTTTGTTGCAGACAGAGAATGGCACAAGTCCTAAATTTATATTATCTGTGTAGAAAATTGAATAAAAAATAAGCTTCAGGCTGATTACTAAGTAAATGAATTTATAAGTGATTACAGTAAGTTAAAAGAATATAGGCAGTCTTTTGTAAGGAATAGCTGTGATTCCTGTACATAAAAGTCAATTAACTACCAAGTTTTTTTGTAGTTTACTGATTATCCCTTAAGACTTGCTTTTTCTCTCTCTTTCTGAAGTAACAAGTAACCACAGTGTGGAAGACATGAAGCACTCATTTCAAAACATTCTACTTCTGATTTTGGAGTGTAAACACAATTCGAACTCAAATGAAACCTTCCAATTGCCTTGGGCACAGGACATTACTTTCCCAGAGTAAAAGTCAGATATTTTCATAAACCCAAAAGACAAAATGAGGCTTACTATGCCACTGTCAGCAGCAACAGAACTGATAAACTTTCCCCAATCACTCCAAGACCAGCAGCTGTGCTCTCTCTGGCAGCCAGACCAGACTGGCTCCTCTTGCTGAGCATTATCAACAATCCCATTAGATATGGGCAGCCAGCAGCACTTAATCACCATCAGTGCTGCTAATTAACACTGTTTGTCAGGGTGGCTCCTCCTCCTCAGCAAAGGGGAGAGCCACATTTAATCCAGCCAATTGCTTTGAGCTAAGCTACAGCTGCACGAACTTTTGAGGGCAGAGTCCACTAAAATAGAAATTAATGTTGCAATGTTGCAGTCAAATGAGTTTGATCAGTAATCAGAGGCTCTTTCAAACAATATTCACTGCATTGTACTGGTGAAACATCCCAACTCTCATCATAATTATTTTACGTACATACCAAGAACTCCAGAGCTTTCTGTTTCCGAACAGGATCATTCTGTGGGATTGAAAAATAAGGAAAAAAATTAAAAGACTGAATTTTACAGCAGTTGTTGCATCATCTTGTACCGAACAGACATTTTAATCTTTTATCCAACAACAAAAGTCAACACGAAGAAAAGATAATTTTAGGTCAGAGCCATAAACATGTAACATTAGATCTTCAGTATCAGTTTGGTAGCAGCTACACAAACACAACTGCTTTCCTTCCAATACCAGGAAGAACACATTTCACATCTAAGCCACACACCTACAGGAGCTATCTTCCCCAGCCTTTCCTCACTCAGGAACAAAATCATGTTAAAAAAGTCAAGTGCTCAGCTGCATTTAGCATAGTACCTGACCAGCCACACAAGATAAAAACAAGTGTTTGTCTCCAGAGCTAATCAGGACAGCTATTTCAGTGATCATTTGGAATTTCACCTTTGAGTTAGAAAAAGGGATTGTAAATCTTTAGATATATTTTAAGATTTAAACCAAACTTTCAGTATAGAATAGTCTTGATCTGAAGAGGGACAAAACAGGGAAGGGGAGACGGCAGCACAGGCTGGGAGTCCTGGCCTGGAGACACTGGCTCTGAGACTCTCAGTGGCTCTGAAGAGGATTTATGAGAGCTAAGGTACTGTATTCTCTTCCCCTCTGCTGTGATGAACACAAAACTCTGACTCATTAGGTTAATTGCTTCTGCAAGAATATTAGTAAAATACTAAATGAAGCCAAAGAATAAGCATTTTCCAGGAAAAAAATAAAAACACGCATAAAGAAACTGCTACAAAATGAGAACTTGTGGTTATGTGAACCCCTGTGTTCACACTGCCTCTACATACCTCTGGCTTATAATCATCTTCCCACCTTAAAAGAAAAAAAATTACAGTATTAAGATGCATTCTAAAAATTACTAAAACACTACGTTTACTCAAAATATTTCAGTTTCCAAATTTTTATCACTTACCAATACTGGATATCTTTCTCTAAGAAATAACAGTGTTTTAACTATGCTGTAAAGGTCCTTATTCTGAGTCACTCTCAGAGAGACCAGCAGTGCAGATGAACTTCTTTACAAATCAGCTAAAGGACATGACTAAAATAATGGTGAGTTGGGCTTTTTCTTCCTATATAAACAGCTGTTTACAAAACTTACTCAGCCAATGATATCCCACATAGAATGGAAGCAGCTTGAAATTTTAATTGCAATTACTTTTTGAGTGCAGTATTTCAAAAGCCACAGCTGCTACTTCCTCACAGACAAAAAGGAACAATTTACAGAAGAGGAGTAAGTACAGTGGAAAGACAATATAAAATATTTTCCAATATGTCATGATGTTTGCTACAGAAAAACAGGTTAAAAATTTCTGTTTTGATTCTCCTGTGCAGGTAGTACTCTCACCTTGATTTCTTCTTCAATGGGGCTAGAAAATAAAAAAGAATTATTAGCAACATCACAAGGTTTGCACTGTATTTCTGCAACATTACACAAACAGAACAGTTACTGGCTGTGAAGTGGCTGTGGTTTCTGCAAAGGGCAGGATTCAGCAGCAAATGGCACACACACCCATCTCAGAAACCAGCAGGCATCCTTGCTGAAAAGTCTGTGGGAGACCTGTGCCCTGAAGGCTCTGCAGGGACCCTACAGCACCTGTGCTCAGGCACCTGAACCCCACACAAGAAGGTTGTATGGAATAAACTGAGGTGGGCCTGTCTCCTCCATGAAAAAAAGTTACAAGGTCTGCATGTGGGTTTTTTCCAAGTAAATACCAGTGAACCTAAAAGCTGTACATACAATAGCTAAGTTTCTAACAAGAAGTGATAGGGGTTGGAATGTGTGATCATCTCACCTCTATCAGTGTATAAGCATGAGGAGGGAGGGAGGGAAAGCTCATCAAAACAAGGCAGTCTAAAACAGTACCTATGCTTCAGAGAACCAGCTACTGCAGGGTACATAACTTCTCACTTCTTAAGCATTGTGTTCCAGGATAAGCAACAGGACATGTAATAATTCTCTGCACAAGTGACACCTTTGGCCCTACAAGACAAGGCCAAAAGCCTTGTGTTGCCATGCTAACCAGTTCCTATTACAGCGACTTGAGGAGGTCTCCATGGTGAGAGAAGGACGAGAATTTTGTTTCTTGATCAGAAGGCTGGATTTATTGATATATGATATATAATACATTATAACTATACTAAAAAGAATAAGGAGAGAAGTTGCAGAGGCTTGCTAAACTAAGAATAGAATAGAAAAGAATTTATCACAAAGTTCTGTGTCTAGGGAATCTGTCTCCGAGCTGTGATTGGCCCCTAATTGTACACATGAAAGATGAGCCAATCACAGGTGCATCTTATTGCATTCTACAGCAGCTGATAATCATTGTTTACATTCTTCTTCTGGGGCCCTTGCTTCCCAGAAGATGCACAATCTTAAAGAAAGGATTTCTATGGAAAAATGTCTGTGACATGTTCCCATTGACACAGTTTAACACATGCTGATGGAGCTGTTATGTCCATTTCATCACTCATACCTGTGTATTAGCAGCCTTTCTTAATTATATCCCCAAACTCACCCTCACTGACAGAAAAGAGTTTTGACATCTGCCAATGTGATCTAGTCAAAAGTTACTTACTGCTGCTAACCCAGTAACCACGATTTCCTTCTAAATAACCAGAAGGGGTTTTTTTGGAATTCACTTCTTAACCAGAGCAAACCTTTATACTGAAAGTCACAACACTTTTGCAGGTAACTTCCCTCTTGTCCATTTTTTCAGTTTCATATCCTGTAGGACTGGGTGGGATCACTCTTTTTCATGTTCTAGATTGATATTTGACTGTGCCTTCCACTTCTACAGAAGTCTGCTGACTTGACTGATGTCAATTTACTCTGAACTGAGAATTACTCAGCTAATTATCAGGTCACACTCCCTCTTCTTCACAAGAGACACAGAGATCAAAGACTTTTGTCACCTTGTTTTGCAGACCAACATTTAAAAGAACAAGCCACAGAAGCCCCAATGACCAATAAAAAGAAGAAAAAAAAAAAAAAACCTGCTGTGGCAGGCTCCTACAGCGGGACTCACGCTGACCAGTTCCGTAGATCTTTGAAACCTTCACCCACTTCAATCAAACCCACCTTCCTTCTGATATTAACACTAGGGTCAAGAGGTAGCAAGGAGGTTACTCCTCCAGACTGGCATCATTAAGGATCTACAGCACAGCTACAGTAACAAAAGATGTAACTCAGCCATCCTGTATGAGGGAAGATGCTGGGTTTATGTTTGTGGCTGTGGTTTCCATCACTTGTTCCAATGGATTTGCTAAAGAATGGTAATTTCCACTTTCACCAGTGATTTAGCATAAGTCTTCTGATGATGTAAATGAGGTAGAGGAGACCTTATCAGCTTATTCAGAGATAAGATACTTTTCCACACTTTTTTACTTTCCTCGCTTTTCCACACTTTTTTACTTTCCTCGATGAGCAATTACCGCAGTTATCAAAAATACTTCCGGAACCAAGAAGTTAAAAAAATCTAAAGAAGACTGGAAGTCTGGCAATTTCCTTCTTTCATCACTTCAAAATCACAAAAACCAGAAAAATCTCTGAAAACATTCTGTGGTGTTACAAGTTGAATGTTTTACATCAGTCAAACCCTTTGAGTTCAACTAGTAAGTCAAATTAGGCCAAATATCAATTACATCAAATCTACTATATTCAAGAAATTCACACACTTACATGAGGTAGCTGGTCTTATGTAACCTTCCATCTAAAAATATAAAAAGGTTCATATTAGACTTTCTGACTAAAATTTCATAACAGTATCTACTGCAACTGCCTTTAGGAAAAGAACAAGTACTTTTATTTATGCCAACATAATTAAATTGAATTAAATTCCTCACACACAGATATAGATTTCTGTAAATATAAATTAAATTTGAGAAAAAAATTGCTTAAATTTGAAAAAAATTAAGTTGCAAAAATTAAAAATTATTGAAGTTAAAGTAATAAAATTTCTGAATCACTGAATTCAGACTGAGCAATTTTCAATTTAAAACATTTGAAACCTTAAAAATATAAAGCTTTCGCCTTTTTCAGATTAATTTCAATACTACTGGTTTTCTCCCTGGATCTTTCAGGGCAACCTAAAGGTAAGCCTTAGTTCTACCCACTATTTACCTTCCTAGAAATACACAGAAAATTTAAGAGGCTTTGCCTGCAGTACTTTTAAAATCTACTCTATTAAACATAAATGCACTGATAAAAGACACATGAAGAAATATTCTACATTTACTTCCAATTACCTTATACATTTTTAATCCTTCACTCTTCTCCAGCTCTCCTGCTATTCGTCTGAAAAACGAGACTTTGCATTCTTTTGTATCTTTTGTTTTTTTCTTTATTTTATCTGGAAATTCTTTAGACTGTAAACAAAACCAGCTTGAAAAGGTTAATATCAAAATATATCACAGTATTAAAAAATTTACACATTTCACCTTCTGGACAAGCTTCCAAAAGACTGGTAAACATTGATTTGAATATTATGAACTAATTTCTTCTCTGCAACATATCTACTCAAATTTAAAGTTACTAAAGTAGTCTTCAAAACAAAAAATGGATACCATGCAAAGCTTGCTACCAGAAGGAAACACCCTCTGTACCAAATCCAGCAATGCTATGGACTTGCTGTGGAATAAAAAAGAATCCCATTGTTTTTGGAACCTGATCCTGAAAGCAATCTAAACACTTAGGAACAGATTTTGGAGCTGAAACAGACAGGCAGCCCTGGGCTGCACTGCCTCAACAGCCCATATCATCAGAGCTCCTCATGTTGGCCTGACCCAGAGAGAGTCAACTATACTGGCAATTTATTATATGGGGGTTTAAACTTCAAATGATCTAATTATTTAGAAAAAAAAATTACGGGATTATCATAACGAAATTTTGATCAAAATGCATCAAAATTACTCACAATGTATTCTCTTCTGTGTTTATATCCACTAAGATGTTCTATCATAGGTGCCACCTCTGAATTACACCCACACAGCCTGCACTCGTAGCGTGGCTCTCTTCTTCCTTCAAATCTGACTTCAACCACATGTTCTAAACCTGTAAAAGCAGGAGTTACAAATATTTCTATTTTACTACAGATTACTGAAACTAATGTATTCTTTACAATGCTGCTCATCAAATTCAAAATTAACATGTGAAATTATTCCATTTTTAGAATTTGACACTCCTTCAGGATCACTTCAACACTTCTATGGACTTATTACCCAATCAGCTAAATTTATCTCTTTCCAATATCTTATTATGAAAGGAAAGACACCATCTATGGCAGATTTCAAAGCTCACCAAAAATATTTAATGCATCTTTACTCCTGGTCTGGGATATTTTTTCAAGAAACTAAGAAAGAGAATGAGAATAGGAAATGCCCTACAAATGTCTAGATTTAAAAACTGCATTTAAAATACCTAAGTCAAAGACAATTTGGACAGTATCTGAGTAAAAGCAGATGTAGGAAAGACATTAATCACTTCACAAAACTGAATCTTTCACAATCTGGAAATGTTCCATAAACTTTTAAGGATCACAAGAATGAAAATGGGAATATTCTTCATTTTTCCTAGAAATTACTGAGACAGTTCCTTTAAAGTATTCAGAAACCTTCAAGTTTGAGGCGTCTTACCTAGCATGAAAAGTTTTATTCTGAAAAGCTTGAACATAATAAATTTAAAAGCAGTTTAAAACAAATACGAAAATCCTGCAGCTGTTCCCTTACATCATAATTTCCAGTACTCTGTATTTGGATGGATTGATCCCAGCCAGCAGCCAAGAACCACATAGCTGCTTGCTCACTCACATCCACACCCCTCAGCAGGGTGGGGAGAACACGGGAAGAACAAAAGCAACAAAACTCATGGACTTAAAGACAGTTTAGTAAGTTAAGGAAAGAGGGGTAAAAAATCCCCAAGACCAACTAACACGCAAAAACCCATTGCTCACTGCCCCACAGGCAGACCAATACCCACCCACAGTCTCTGAACAGCCACCTTGGAAGTTAAACTCTGCTTCCTCCCTTCTTCTTTCTTTACCTCAACTGTGATTACTGAGCACAACCTTTCATGGTACAGAATATCCTTTGTGCCAGTTTGGGTCAACTGCCCTGGATGTGCCACCTCCCAGTCTCTTGCCCACCCCGAGCTTACTCAAGGGTGAAAGCCCAGAATAACAAAACAGTCTTGATGCAGGTGCACTGCTCAGCAACAGGAAAAACCACTGGGGTGTCATCAAAACTGCTTCAGACACAAATCCAAACCATACAGGCTGCTATGAAAAATTCAACTCCATCTCAAACCTGCTATATTATCATACTGCTAAATCTTAACTCTGAAAATAAATTATCACCAAATGAACTTAAACTGTTTTTGCAACCAAAGTGTTTTCTATTACAAATGCTTATAGTAAAGTATTAATGTTAAAAAGCCTAGCAATTTATTAGGTGGAGACAATGCACTAAACAGAGAAATGTTCTGTTAATACTAGGAAATTTGCTACTTAGGCCTTCATCAGAGAACCTATTTCTCCAGGCCACCATGACACACTTGGAACACTAAGGCCACTGACAAGCAGCCTTGCTACTCTCCTAAGGGTTTCTAACCTAGCAGTTAGAAGGAAAGCATTAAAATTAATCTCACTACTTCCAGTACAGCCAAGGACAGTGAGGAAAAATATCTCACAGAGTGGAAATATCTGTATATCCCACCAAATGGAAAGCCACAAAGAACCACGACTGATGAAAAGTCACCAGTGGCATGAGGTCCATTTGGAGGCCAGAAGGTAGCAGTGCACCCCAGGGGTCAGTACTGGGGCCAGTCCTGCTCAAAACCTTCATTAATGATCTGGATGATGATGCAGAGCACAACCTCAGCAAGGCTGATGATGACACATAACTGGGAGGGATGCAGATACACCAGAGGGTTGTGCTGCCACCCAGAGGGACCCTGAGTGCCTGGAGCTGGGCTGACAGGAAGCTCAGGCAGATCAGCAAGGGCAAGTGCCAAGTCCTGCATCAGAGAAGAACAAGCACCAGGGCATGCTGGGGGCTGGCTAGCCAGGAAGAACACTGGCAGGAAAGGGCCCAGTGGACAGCAAGCTGAAGATGAGCCAGCAAAGGCTGACAGTATCCTGGGCTGCACAAGGAGTGCTCACAGCAGGCTCCTCTCAGCACCAGTAGAGCCATTCCTGGAATGCTGTGTCAAGTTCTGGACTGCACAGTACAAGAGACAAGGGCATATGAAGGGCCATGAAAATTACAACGGTACTAGAGCATCTCTCCTATGTTCAGCCTCAAGAGGAAATCTCATCACTGTGTATAAATACTTGAGATGAAGGTGCAAAGAGGGAGCTGTTTTCAGTGGTGCCCGGTGCCAGGACAAGAGGCAACAGCACAACTGAAGCAGGAGATACGGTCTGAAGATCAGGAAACACATTCTGACTGTGCGGGTGACTGAGTACTGGAACAGATTTCCCTGAGAGATTGTAGTTCTTCACCCTGAAGATTTTCAAAAGCCATCTGACATGGTCCCAGACAACCTCCTCTGGAACTTGAGCAAGGGTTAAAATCAGCATAGGCCCCTCCCAACCTCAACCATTCTGTGACCTGGAAAAAGCCTCTTGACTTAAATGGCTCCGTCAGGAACAAGTTAACAATTAAGGAGGCCTTTATAATACCCAGTGCATTAAACTAAATTTAAAATGGTATGAGATAGGTCAGTTATTAAATACATTTACAGAAAATGAAATAGTAACTAAAATCCCACCTTTTATTTCAAAATAAAGTCATTTGGTAACAAATTCAAAGGCATGCAATTTATAGAACAAAAAACCATACCAACTAGAGGCTCTTCTCTTCTGGGATCATTCACAAAATCCTTCAGACAGGTTATGTACCCTGTGAATGATCTCTTCACTGAAGTAAAAAATACACATAAAGAGGCATTACACATTATATAGTTTACACATAATGTCTATGACAAATAAGTTTCTAATGGGAGATTAATGGTGACAAAAGTCATTTGCACTCTGAAATGCATAAGGAAAACAGGCAAGACCTCAGTCCCCCAGAGAAAAAATCCAACACTTTCTCTTCCATAACAATTTTATACACAAGGATCTAATGTCTCTAAGAAAAGAAGCAAATAAGCAAAACAAGACTTCTAACACAATTCAGTTTACTGAGGAAAGGCATGAAGTTCACATGCACAGCATGTCCCACACTGTGTCAGTTCTCATAAAAAAAAAGAAAAGCCATCAACCTCCTCCCATCAAAAACCTAACACTCATACAGTGTTCTGGGACTGCTTGTTTGGAGTCTGAAGTTCAAGAGTTATACTGCCTTAAGGCTAACAAAAACCACAATTTTCACTAATACAGCAAATACCTTTTGAGCTCTGGGCAGCCCAAAGGCTGCACAGACACACTCAGTATATTCCTGAACTAGCAGTGTTTCAATCAGGGCTCTATCTTGCCCCTCACTGAGTTTTGATAGCCTGATTTTTGCTCTGCCTAAAACACTTCTAAAGCATTCCTGCTCAGCTTAGAACACCAGCAGAGTTCAGCTAAAACAACCTGCAAAATAATCTCAACGAGACACTAAGTGTATTCAAATGTTGGGCATTATAAAAGACCATGATGAAGGGTTAAAAAACATATTTTTAATCTGCAAAAAAAAAAAGTGCAGAACCAGAATTCATCTACCTAATTACATACAACTGACCAATGAATTGTGTAAGAGTAATTAACACTGCTAGTTTCTTCAAATCAGAGCAAACAAGTAGAAATATCACAAGCATGGAACTGTTACTGTATTCTTTCCCACTAGGATGTCAGGTTATGGCTAAAAAAACCCCAAAAAACTTCACAAGAAGAGGTAATTTCATATTCATCCTTAAATATTCACGCCATTAGAAATATGCCTGTGCTACTATGCTATCAAGTCAAACTCCAAAATTGAACACAAACAAAAACTTCACTAAGTTGCACCATTTAGATGAAAAACCTCTTGCAATATAACAGTACTACAAAATACCTTGTGAGACACCTCCTGCCACAGCAACAATATGGCCCACTTTCACCAAAAGTTCAGAGTCTTCTTAAAATCTTTGTTTTGGTGGGGTTTTCTATCACCTGAGGTGACATGCAGCAGTAGCATGTGACAGAGTCAACATGTAACAAGCTGGTGCCCAGTAATTCATCTCCACAGACAGACTTTCATCAACACTGAAATGCATGAATTTGTGAGCCTGTGCAGCAGCTCAGTGTGAGCTGGTTATTCCCAAGCTGACCGAGAATTGCACATGATCTTTTGGACTTAATATGGAAAGATGCATGCAGAAAAAAGTTACAGGTTTGGTCAAGGTAACAGCCATTTTCTTCTTGTTTCCTAACACACAACTAAATACTTTTGTCTTAATAGCAAGCAACCCATGCTGTTCTTGGTTTATGTGCTTTTGGTTTGTCATATTTTCACTGTCCTCTGATCATGCTGCAAATTTTCTCATTTAAAACTTCACCAACTAAAAAAATACTAGCTAGATTCATTACAATATTGTCAGATAATCATGAAGACAGAAACTATGTCTCAAGTTTGAAACTTTTTCCATAAAAATACTTGTAACTTCTTATTCTCCTAAGATCTTTTTTTTACATCAATGAACCAGTGCACAGAAGAAAAGCAATGGTCCCAATGGTTGCATGAGAAAAAGGCATCATTTATATTCAGGTACCTCGTCTGAGCACTCGGTACTTCATTGGAACTTGGATTAGAGCCGAAGAACCTAGGATAAGAGTTTGACAGTCAGATTACTTCTTCTCATTTGCTTTTATTAAGTACTTAGTAGATCATTGACACATATTACAGAATGGAACAGTATCTTCAGTTTGCAATTTCATATAGGCTCAGTATTCCATCTTGGTAGTTTTCTTTTTTAACTTCATTGCTCTAAGTCTCCCACTCCATTCCCCTTCTCCAACAACACAAAATACCAAATACACAAATGTCACAGAAACCAGAATATTCAATGTTTATTTGATTTTTAAGTGCTTTTTATATTGGATACTTATTTTAATTATTTTAACTATGCAGTATCATGCTCAACAATCCATCTGTGTTCCAGATATCCAACAAAAGCTTCTGGTCTAAACATTCAGAGACTAAACAGTCTCAGACAAAATTAATATAGTCATTAAACTACATCTTCTTTTACACAGGGGTCTGTATCTATTCCTAACCACTCAGAGCTTCAAAGTGAATGTTAAGGTGTGCACTTACACTGTTGGAATTTCTCCCTTGCCCTTCTCTCCCTCAAATCCACAGACACACAAACCACAGCGCTTTAATGACGCTGTCAATGTTTTGTAAGTCACAACAATCAAGATTAAAATAAGGTGATACATTAATACTCATTTGATGGAAAAAGTGTAAGGTAAATTATTAATTATTTGTACACATAATTCCTAATTTTGAAGTAATAAACTTTTCTACAGTAATGGCAAACACAACATGTTGCATACATAAATTTTATTCCTCTTTCTGCATAGGGAATTAAGAGATAGGTATCAAAGCTATAAATGAAATAAAATCAAGGTTACAAACATTTTGCAAACAACTCTCCAATATTAACATAATGGAAGGGGTACGGGAAAGCATATCTCCCTTGATTCCTTAAAATAAATTATGCATATTTTTCAGTTAAAAGTTTTAAAGTATCTGGTAGCAAGAAGATCCCCAGGCATTTTCCAATTAGAACAATTACTTACTGTCAGAATTGTTCAATTAGTGTCTGAAGCTCAAGTTAAGATGCCAGGTCCAGCATGTGCAGACATGGCCAAATGTTATATGATACAAATAGGCTTATGTGAAAAAATGCTTTATTTAGTTTACTTCTAGGAACAAAGTGAATTTACAGAGAATTGTACCAGAAGCAGTTCTCAGCACATTCTGCCTTAATGTGGTAAGAGTTTACAAATATGGTCAAGCTAAAAATCAAATTGTGATAGCTGCTGCTATCACCAAAGGTAGCAGAGTGGGGGATTGAATTTTATTTAACTACAAAAGAGAAAAAGCATTAAGTAAAGATCATTGCTGCCCACAAATGTTTAACAAAGCAGTTTTGATCTTGAAGACTTTCCCATTCAGCAGCAGCATGTTCCCAGGCTAACATTTAATTCACGCCTAGCCACGTGGCTTTGTACTGCTATCAATAATATATTTCTTAAGCATCTCAAAACCAAACCAACATAGTATGTTCTCTAAAGCATGCCAGACTGATCAATGAGCTGAAAATCAGCTGGTCTGCCAGGCTCAAAGGGAAACTATCAACAAAGCAGCCTCCTGGTGTCCAGTAAGCAGCAGAATCCCGCAAAGAGCAAATTCCAGGGCCCACAATGCCCAGGGATGCATTCCCAGCCAGGTTACAGATTCTTAAAACACCCTCAGAAAATTCATAGGCAACAGTAATTTAGGGAATACAACTGATGCCACAGCTTCAGCTGAGTGGGACCTTGGGAACACAGAAACTGCACGGGCAGTCACTGCAGAATATCTTCTCCCCCATTATCTAGGACCTGTAAGGATGACTACTATCACTCCTGTTCAGTTCAAGGGGGATGTAGAGGGGGGCCCAGCAAAATGGCAAATAATTTATGAGAACAGGCTTGGGAGCTGGACTTGTTTAGACTGGTGGAGATGAAGAGGAGACATAATAAATAGCATGGATACCTGAACAGCAGCTACAAAATGTACAGCCCTGTGGGAACCTGACAGAAGCATTAAAAAGTAGCAGCCAGGAATAGCTGCTTCAGGTGCAAAGATTAGATATTAGGATAAAATTCCTCCTTGAACAGAGGAGCAACAGCAGACTGATATTAAACACATGTAGAAGAATCTCTGCCTGTCAACATGTTCAAGGATTCAGCAAGGAAGTGATGATCCAGCACTAGTTGTAGTCTTGCTTCAATCAGGAAGTTAGGAAATCACCTAATCAGTCTCAGGAAATCTCTTCCACCTGATTATTTTATTTAGTAAGAACTATGTTCCAAATACTAGCTATGCACATGAACAAACAAAAAAACCCAACAAAAGCAACTCCCCAAAAAACCCTTTCCTTTCAATATTCAATTACAGAGCACTGAACATATAAAAGGTGGAGAAGAAACATCTGTTTATGTATTTGTAATGCACACACATTCCTAATGACTGCCAGAAATGTAACAGCCATGTTTCAAAACAAAAGGGCAGTTTCAGACACTGTCAGCTCAGCTATTCAGCAGCAACAAGAATGTCCCAAGCTCAGCACCAGATTCCCTTTTGAGTATAAAGGGAAGTGAAGGGGAAACAAAGATGCCAGATTCCACCATGTCAAGGAAATCCCCAAGACAAAAGTAGTAAGGATATTGAAATAATGTTCCACCTTATACTTCTATTATTATGGCTTCTGAAACATTTTCTCTTCTAGTCTGTAAGTCAGAATAGAACTTCCAGGCTTCTCCATTGAAGACTCAGCAGTAGATATATATCCAAAAAACACATCCTTATCCATGTTTAACAGACACTGAGCATGGAGGGACATGTTAAAACATATCAATTTCTTAACATATTAAGTTGAAATGCTGATCAGGATACTGCTAAGTTTATCATTGGTGAACACAAGGCAGAATCCACCACATCTGTGCCTTCACTGGAGAAAGAACTTGTCTTCAATGCTGTTTAGCAACTGCAGCTTATCTTCAAACTGGAATCCTCTCCTCGACTCCATGTTTTACAGAGCAACCATAATGAAGCTTTCTTTACTCATGGTGGAATTTACAGGTTTTAAGTTGAAGGGTATAAATACAGATTAGTAGATCCAGCAGCTAAAACATACAACATCCCTTATTACATTTTCCATTTGTATTGCTATAAAGAGCAGGACAAGCTTCCTCTGCATCATACTGTAATGCAAGAAAAATTCCACAGGCTGTACAAATAAATTCATTAACCCACTCCTCTGTGCCATATTCATTTCACCACTAAGCCCTTTGTCCATAAAGGGCTTTAATAGAGCTCATACTCTGTATTATGCCTCTTGCTTGAGCTAACTGTAGTAAACCACTGCATTTTGCTACTGCCCAGTAAATATTGGCCTATGTGTATATTGGCTTTGCCCCATCATTTAGTGCCTCTTGCTCAAAGCAAAAAGCTTTCAAAACTTTACTATTCATTCCCTTCCACTCCTTATCCCTGAACACATGGGCAACTGCCTTAAAAAAGGGCTGAAAGAAGTATTCCATCTGTCCAATTACATGACTGTACAAAGGAATCACATGACTGAAATTCATGTACTCATCTGTGCCTTGATTTAACACTCTTACTAAGTCCCAGAACTCCAGCATCTTCTATTTCCACACCTTCCATTGTGTTGCTTTCCTCTGAACTGCTGAAGGGGAAAAAAAAAACCCAAGCCAAACCAACCCAACATATCCAATTTTGTCATAACCACAAAAACAGCTTGTGGATAGTTTTGCCATATGGGAACTCACACAGTAATGTGATGAAGAAAGTCACCTTTCTTACAGGAAGTAGAACTCCTCCAAAAACAAACACCTGGAATCAGATGCATTTCCTCACTTAACTGACTTTGAAGTCAACATGGTTGTGCAGTAACACAGGTTACATACACTCACCACTGCTGGATTATCAAGAAACTTTTGGTGGGTTCAGAAAGGATGTATGGCATATCCCATTTGGAAATACTCAGAATTCAAATACTTTGTCTTTTTAAATTTTGGTTTACAAATGGCAGGTGTTTGTTTTACGAGGTGTTCTCCCTACTGACAAAGGAACTTTTTTTAATTCTGCAGCAAAGAAGAAAATGCAGATATTGGTGTAAAACATTCTAAATATGTCAAGCCTCATCCTCTGAAGTACCTTTTCCTTTTTAGACAGTGTACATTTCAGATACTTGTCAGGTGTCATCCTGAATTACTTCCAAGAAAACTCATCCTTCACTTTCACATCATTTTTTTTCCTGGCTCTTTGAACTCCAGCTCTGTGAACATGCTGTCACATTTCAATCTCACTGGAACATTTGATAGCATGAACATTAGAACAAGACTGCAGATCCAGCAACAATAACAAAAGCATATAAATAATTTATATACTGAAATTAAATTAGATTCAAACTTTACACAGTTTAGCAGGTAATTTAAAAAAATCCATACTTCCCATGTGCATTCACAAAACTTTACTACTAAATTTAATAATTTTTGTTCATGCTTACCTCAGACCTATCTCAGAGGTCTACAAACAATTAAAAAAAACCCAGCTATTTAAAATGAAAAAATAAAGGCCAGATGAATTAATCATTACACTTTTGTATCAGGGACAGAGCACAATGAATTTACTGGATCTGCTGGACCTTGAAGGAGAATTATTTATATAATTGGTAATATGTCCATGGGAGAGTTCAAGAAGTTCTACACACATACTGACTACATAATTCAGCATTATAGTTCCCAACACCTCTGAAAAGTTACTTAAGAAAACAGCTTTTCTACTTGCAAAAAAATCTAAAGCAGCACAACTAAAACATACAAATAAATTTCATCAGACCAAATTTCAGCCTCTTTGGACAAATAAACCCCACCAGTGGCTTGCAAATTGACCTTCCACAACTTGATCTTCAGTGAAGCAGAATGCAATAGACAGCAGAATAAAGGAGACATCAATAGTATTAATAATAATTTTTTATTAGAAGTAAGTTTCTGATAGCTTCAAAATTATTCCTGAGGCAGAGAACTTTCTGGATAAAAACGTGTCTTGCAATGCTTCTGACATTTGGTACCCTGTGATGTTGAGACTCCTCCAGAGGACACAGCTAACTTGCTTACCAAAGCTTCTAAATTCTTCACTTGATTAATTAGATATTTTGACTTCTTGTTCTGCAGGACACATCCCAGTTGAAAGATTCCAAGTCATGACATTTCCAAGGATACAGTACTTGTAGCATGCACACATTCTTAACCTTTGGATTAATTCTTAATTCTCCATGGAACACAGAGACTGTAGTACATACAGCTCTGTTTTCTAAAGCCATAGGTATTTGCAACAGGTTCCTGCTGTTACCACTCTTTCCACAGCCTTGCTACCACAACTTCTGTCCTCTTATTCAAGTCACTTTCTGCCACATGCATCCCATACATTATTCCTCTAAAACCAGGTTTTATGATCTTGAAGAATGAATCTCTTCACTTAATGAGTATTACTTTTAATGATCATTTCTCACACAAAACTCAAACAAATCTGTAGAAAATGTCTTCCACTAAAAGCCCTTGACCAGACCCACACAAATCTGTTCTTGTTACTGAGGTGTAAAGACAATTTTGTAGCACTTGAATCCACCGGACTTTGAGAAGACTTGGAAGTTTCCACAACTCCTCAAATTCTGTCAGGGAGCTCCGTTACCATACAGCAGTCACAGGTGACTGAGGCAAAATCTCATGACTGTTCTCACACTTGAATGACATGTCTTGCACTAACTCCCCCATCAGCACAAAACCCTGAGAGCAGCTAATGAAGCTCAGTCTCTTAGGAAAGGGCTCTGACCAGCATTTTCCCAGATCTTTCTTGCTTGTTGATTCTTCAGGGTGCAGCAAGTGGTGAGCTCAGCCTGCAGCACTTCCCTCAGTACAGGACTGACACTGTCACTCTTCCCTGTGCAGATGTGTGTCTTCAGGCACCTCTGATCACCTTGGTTCAAAAAGGCTGAGAGGTTCAAAAGACACTGGGGAACAGATGATAAAGGTGGAATGTAAGCCTTGCTTCTTCGGAGAACAGGCTAAGAAGATAAAGTAGAAGTGAAACGCTTGTTTCTTGTGTGACTGACTATAGCCATTTGGTTTTTAATAATCTCATTGATTTTTATCAGTATTCCCACATCTGCTTATCCCTCTGCTTCCTGTATGTCATCATAAGTAGCTTTACAACAAGATTTTCATTTCAACTGTGAGCGAAGTATACATCACATTTCCAACCTTTCACCACAACTTCTACTTTCATTGACATATGACAGTCTGGATTCACATTCTCAGTTTCTGGGGAAAAGACACCCCAACAACTGAATTCACCTTGAATACATCTTTGCTCCTCCAAGTCCACTACAATAAAGAGAGGCAGAACATTCCTGTGATGCAGCCAAGCAGCTTCAGCACTGGTAGAGCTGCATCTGCAACACTGCTGTGTCAGCCTGCTGATTTAGCTTCTCAGCATTCTGCCTGAAACTCAGCAGTGCATGCATCAAGCTGACAGACAAGTAGGAGACAGTTTAGCCTGAGAAGGTGAGAAACTAAAACACTGACTATACATCCCTCCACTAGACAGATACATAAATATTTGTATGTGAAAAGGCATAAGTAAGGTTTCATACTCTAAAACAATTCTTTGTCAGCAGTTCACTAGACAAATCTCAGAAGAATGTTCAGCATATAAAGAGAAACACAGTTAGAGACATAAATTGGCAAATGCAAATACCTGAACTATTAGAAAAGCAACAAAACAGTAAATCCCCAAGCAATATCTATCCTAGGAGGCTGGAAGAAAAAAGTATTATACTTACAATAGAGATTCCTGCGTCTCATGGCTTTCTCTTGCTTTAATTATGAAGATGCAAGTCATCCCAAAATAGAATAAGAAAAATAAATTAATGTGCTGCATCATTTGAAGGAAAAATCCAGCACTTCCAGAGAAGCCTTTGCAGATGAATTTCATTACAGGCCAAAATTTCCATGGTCAAACAGGAAAAATTAGAGCCTTTATGATTGTCTGCAAAAGCTGGAAGTACCGACAGAGTTGTACTTACAGTTAACACAAGGTTACTTTCAAGAAAACCCTGTTATTTAGCGAAGTTTTAAGGGATGATTATGGCTTGAAACACATCTGAACGATGCCAGAAAACCTAAAGTATGACTACAGCTCCTAAGTTTTCAGAAGGCGTAGTTCCGACAACAACAAAAAAAATCTTACGCCAAAAGGAAAAACTAACTGAAAGCAGCTCCCCCATCATTTTCTGAGTGGATTTGGTTAAACCTTAAGGCTAGCCAAATCTCAGGAAAGATCATTCATATCATGAAGAACAGGAAAAGTGTCTTGCACTGGCTGAATCCAGAATAGATGGTTGCTTTTTGGCAGAATCTAAAGAAAAGAAGTTAAATTTCCATTTAATAGCTAAGCAATCCTGATTCATTTTGACAATTTTCTGGCAAGTAAACACAAACTTGTCATTTACAAGAATAAAACAATAGTGTGATCATTCTACCACTACAGCAGCTGTCTGTCCAGAGCAGTCCATGGAGTTAAGTGCTGTATTTTCAATATTCAGTGGCATGGAAGAGATGCTGGACATGGGTGTGGCAATTCAACAGGAAGCAAGACTGATAAAACAGTTAATTGTCTGAGAAGCCAAGCAGCTGTACTTTCGTGGCAGCTATAAAATAAGGAAGTGACCCAAGTCCTGGTATTGCCACAGGCAGTGGATGGTTTTGTATAAATTCAACAGGATTTCACAAGCTTAGTAATACACAGTGTTCCTCACAGTTATGCTGTTCCAAGTGCTTTTGTTACTCATTCTCCAGTTTTACAACAAACAGCTGCTAATACCAAGTTTTCAGACAAGCACAGAAAACATTAGCAATTGTGAGCTGCTGTTTAAAGAGAATTTCCTCCTGCTATTTTCAGACAATCACCTTTGACTGCACCTGGTTTACTGCTTTTGTTAATATCAGAAATGTAGTTTCACAACTGAAGCTAAAGTGTCTATTTTACTTGTGATCCCTGCTACTAGATCAGGAATTAAGATTCTCACACATTTGGTGAGAATCTTATTCTCTGTTCTGGTTCAGGAATTGTAACAGCTGTTTTTGAGCTAAGACTGAAAAGTTAGAGTAACTTTTGGCAAAGTGTCTAACTTTGAGAAGCCAAAACTCAAAAACTACTGGTTTTAAGGATTCAAACCTTCTGGGCACATGGCAGTCTGTATGAGCTACTGCATAAGGTAGTTGCCTACACAACTGAAGTTCACAGGTTATTTAACAGAACAGTTTCAATTGCATAGTTAAGTATTATATGAACATAATTTAGTTTGTCTTAAACATACCCCATCTTTAAATACATCAGTCAGATATACAAGGATATGCATGGAAATTCTACTTATTCTAATACTTCACACTCATAATAAACAAATCAAGTTCTGGGGTTTTGTCTTCTGCTTGGCTTTTCCCCTCAAAAGAAATCTCCACAATTGAAGTTTCTCTGTGGAGAAAGAGAACTAACAGAAGATATGGTGCAGAACACAATGGCATGCTTTTTGGGACCAAATATAAACAATCCAACAGCAAGGTCATTTTCCTGCAACTAGCTACATTAGCATTCCAAGTATCAACACAAATATGCATGACTGAAATGTTTAAACAGCAATGGTTGATTTTCCTGCCACAAAAAGGACAGAAAAGTTGTCTGCACATCAGGCATTTCAACCACAGGTTCTGATGTGCAACAATCAGGGGTGAGAGACAAGAAATGAGAATACTGAAATGATGAAGACAAATGCTAACAGCTCTCTTCACAGATTTGAACATTACTTGTTTCTGAAAAGCCTGTAGGACATGGCAGGCATTTCTACTTAACTCTAGACTTGAAGGGGAGCAAGGAAACTTGGATCTTTGATAGAACCAGAACAATCTTCATCTGTGTTCCAAACACAACTCACAAAATAAACAGTGTTCTTCTGCTGATGCCATACCTGCAAAGGGCTGATCAAAACACATGGAAAAAAGGTGTTCCACTCTAGGATCTCCCTAGCAGACCGAGCTATAAACCTAAAGCATACTTACAAAATCAGAATAAATTGTATCACATACTACCATATTCCAGGTATGTACACCATAGGTGTAATTGATTTGGGGACCATTGTCCCAAAAAACCTAGATTTCTCCTCAGCTGTGGAAAAAAACAAAAAGGCCAAACAAACCCATCTTTCACGCATGATATCCCCCACTACTCTCACAGGCTTAGCTAAATTAAAATCATTAGTAAACTAATATAAATATTGTTTCCTAAACATTTTACTGTAATGGCTAAAACTAAAATTGAACTTTTTTTTAAAGTATCCAAAATCAACCAATTCCAATTTTCAGAGCCATGAATCATACACACATCTATGAATATTTTGGCTAATGCACTTTCCACAACTTCCCATCCCATTAGTACCTGCTGTGCAGTGAAGCCACAGGACCCCACCATTGTGCTACAATGCAGAGGTCACACAGCACTCAATGCACAAGGTACACACAGCCTTGTACTGCGATCACCCCAGCCACACAATCCTTGGGCCATCAGCACCCTTTGACAAGGCTCTGGCCTTATGAACTAACAGCACTAGAAAAAATTGGAGATAAAATAAAGGTATGCAGAAACAACCTAAATAAGTATCTTATGCACCTATTCAAAATCCAGATTAACCAGACTATCCAGGTGGAAAAACAGAAAAAAAAAAAAAAGAGATAAAATAGCCATGTACACTGAAGGTCAACTGAAGTATTCTCACAAATCTGTCAGACAGCCAAGCTTTACTACTGCAGCTATTCAAAAGAACACATTTTACTCTGAACAGCTATAGGAAACACAGGCCAATTTTATATATGTATCACATGTTTACATTTGTTTCTTAATGACTGTCCTTCTGCCAAAGGGCTTTTTCTTGCATTTTGGAACACCTTCCAGCAGCAGACAAGCAGAGTATCTTTAACAATGCCATTTTAAAAGCAAATGGGAAACTGATATAAAAAAGGCAACCTGACTGAAGTCATAAAAAATGGCTGATGGATTGCTCAGGGTAGTACTGTAGTTTAGGAAAAGAACTACTACCTTCTCTTCATTTTGTTGTGTTGTCAGGACATCCTTTGCTATTATTTTGAACAGGAACTCCTCCAGTCTAAGGGCTATTCACTATCTACACCTACTCTGTATTCAGTGGAAACATAGGCTCAGGACTTGTATAGCTATTCCAAACTTAGTGGTACAAAACCCTGAAATCAGCTTATGAGTTCTCATCTTTTTCCACCAAAGCACACAACAGATTTCATCATTTAAAGAAAGAACTTGGAGATAACTGAAAAGAACAATGATATGAGCTTGGAAAGTCACTCCTACAGCAAAGCAGCTGTGTGACTGACCATGACTCCACACCCAATAAAAATCCAGTTTTCAACCTGTGCTACTCCTGTTTGCTCTCAGCTCAAAGACTTCACTGACACAAAAAACTGGGAGATTTAGCCCAGCATACATCCAAGTGTGAAACAGAAGGAAAACTATATGCAGATTTTTAAGAAAATAAATGCTGGGTTTCCTACTTTTGAAGGGAAAACCAGCAACAATTAGATTGCTAAGAGGGTTAGCTAAGGGGGAAAAAAAAAGAAACAACCACAAAAGCAAAGGAATGCTTTACATCAGCAGGAACATTTGGTATGACATGCAAAATACAACTGTACACTTCTACTTGATAAACGAGGAACAAGAAGACTCAATCCTGTGGAGACAGAAAAGGGGTTGGAGAAAATAGAGCCACTGATTCAAATAAGAATCAATGCTATTAAATTGATCAGCAAATAGGTAACAGAATACTATTAATCTGTCTCAACAGCAAAGAGAAGGGGAGATGCCCTCATTCCCAAAATAAAAAAAGAAAAGGGCACACCATCACTAGAGAAAGGCAGTTTAGCTGTTAGTCACTATTGCTCCAGGAAGAATAAAGTGCCATTACATTAAGAAAACATCAGAGCAGGCTCTGCAGTGCCACAACAACACAATCTGAGGGCAGCAGAGGAGTACAGACTACTGAGTTCTGTCTCACCTTTACAGACTGAGAATGTGGTGGAATTTTAAACAATCATCAGCCAATCAACAGCCAAAGGTTCGGTCACTCAGCATTTGTAAAAGCCTCATGTCTAAACACACCCTCACAGAACGGTGCCTAATTATTTAATGCCTTCGTCTGTTTTGGGCTTAAACCAGGGAGCTGCTGGTTTATGATGCTTCAAAGCAACACAAGTGTCAGACTTGATAGTTAAGTCCCTGTAACTCCTTCAGGAAATCAGGACTGGTGCTAATATCCAAGTAAAGAGGAAGTTCATTTCATTCAAAGTACAGGTGAGTTATCTAGACTCGGAAGACAGAACAGTACTTTTACCAAGTGCATCCTAAAACACAAAGTTGAATTCTTTCACCACTGGCGGCTCTCGTGTCATTCAAATGTTAATTTCACCATTAGCACACGTTTACCTTCAGGTAGGGCTGATGTTTCAAGTTACATGCTGCACAAAGCGGGAGTTGAGAGATACCCACGTCATCTTTTTCTTGGAATATTTCAAGCAAGTTACTGTTACAAATCTATCAATAAGTTACATAAGCACTTGAAGCCGTGTGAAATCAAGCACTTAATTTACAGAAGTCCCGAATTAAGATTAAATCTGCATATACATTAAAAACGGAAAAAGTTTACCCTCCTATGCTTCGCACCACGGTAGTGTGACTGAAGACTTATGGCGCACATACAGTAAATTTTACAAACCTGAAAGAGAAAAATTGAAAGCACATCTTCAGTTATGCTACGAACATTCTGCCGCTGGTGAATTATAAATATGAAATACATCCGTTCCTACAGAGCAATGGTGTAATTCTCAAGGTCGTCTCTGGCTCAAACAGTTTGCATGACTTTTAGGAGAGCAGCTTACCACTAAAATGTCCAGAAATAGTAGGCAGACCTGTTCAAACAATACTTAAACAAGTGTTTAAATAAACAAGTGTTTAAACAAATCAGGTGGTGAGAAGGCTTTACGAGCCCTTCTCTGCTACCAGCACTTTCTGAATTCTTAGTTTTCTACAGTTCTCCAAGCTGGAAAGCCAGCAAAAAGGGATGGTCGTGCAGAAACTCGAAAGGACCAGAGGCAAAATTACGCCCTGGGATAACTGCAGCTCCGTTCATTGTTCACTCACAGCTACGTTAAGGGAGCAGAAAAACAATGGAGGAAGACACATGCATTTCATTAAGATCCACAGACATGCATATACCATTGCAATCATTAAGAGAGGGCGATATAGATGTACAAATATGTCTTATTATCTTTAGCTTTTATAAAAGCAATGCATGCTAGTATTGTCTCTCCTTTACGTACTGCCGCAGAACTTGAAGGAGCCAGAAACAACATCCAGCGCTACAAAAACACTGCAGGACTGACAAATTTAACGCGCTCTGAGCCGGAGCTGCAGCTGTTAAAAGAGCCTTTGCGGCCGCCCATCAGAGACCCCCAGCCAAGGTTGGAAAGGCAGCAAGTGAGAACCACTCACCGTACCCGTGACTGCCCAAGAGCAGCCAGAACTCACCGAGCCCAGCTCTCCCAGGCACCGGCCCCGCCATTCCCCCCACGCAGAGCCCCTCTGGCTGCCAGGCCCGGCTCCCAGAGCCTGCCCGGGCTGAAAACCCCCCCAGAGACACCCACTCACATCGCAGTAAAAGAGCTTCTTCTCGGGCTCCGCTTTGCCATCTTCTGCCTTAACTTCCTCAGGCACGGCGCTCATCCTGCGCGGCCGGGGAAAAAAAAATTAAAAAAAAAATAAATAAAACCAACTCTTGTTCACACAGTGTTTTACAGCGACCAGGTGGGGGCGGGGGCCACGCCTCCGTCGGACGAGCTGAGTTATTATTTATTATTTGGCTATTTGAGCGCTATTGTTTCATTCTGTGGGTCAGTGCACATCTCCCAGCGCCGGCGCTGCCCCACAGCATCCGGGAGCTCGCGCCCACCTCGCCCCCCACGGCGTTCGTCACTTCCGTCAGCGCCGCAGCCACTCCCCCAGGCCGGCGGCCATCGGCGGGCAGCCGCTCGCCTCGGCCAATGGGGAGCTGGCGTCGCGCCGCGGGCCTGGCAGCAGGCCACGCCCCCGTGATCAGGCCACGCCCCCCCATGCCCAGCCTGGCGCCCCCTGGCGTGAAGGGGGAACCGGGAGCGGCCGGGCTGGGATGGATAGGGGGCCAGGCCAGGAGGAACCCCGGGAGCAGCGCCAGGAAAGGATGCTGGGACCAGTTCAGGGGAATACTACGCCCTACTGAGGCCAAGAGAGGATACTGTAACCAGTTCAGACCGGGGTGGGTGCCTGGACCTGTTTAGGATGGATACTGGGACAACTTCAGGTTCGGGGTGCATACTGGGACCTATCCAGAAGGTGAAAAATGCATATTTTATGATTGGCTTCTCGCAAATATTAAAATGCATATTATGTGTGTTATGTTAGAAATTTATGCTGTATTAATTTTCTTAAGTAGTGTGTTAAATATAGTTTTAGGTTATAAAAAGTGTTAAAATAGAAACTATGCTATGTAGGATACTTTTTTTTAAAGAAAGGACTTGCAGCGAAATAGCAGCCACAGGACATCTAAATCTTTCAAAGAGAATTTATTGCTCTCTTATCAGAAGAAATGAACTTCTTCCTGCCTCGCTCAGCCATGAAGACGCCTCAGGATTAAGATGAAGAAGCTGACACTGACCAAACAGCATCCTTTGTTTGAATGGAATTTATGCATCATGTATGAGGTGTATGAATATGCAACAGGCTGTTGTTTCTAAGGGTTAATCCTCTGTTAACGTGTGTCCTTTTTTGGGCTTATGGTGCCCAGAAAAAGGTACCTGGATGTCCATAACTCTTTGTTTCTGTTGTCTCATATTGTCCTTATCCAAATTGTCCAAATTATTACTACTCTAATTATATTTCTATTTTTATAACCATTTTATTACTATTAAACTTTTCAAATTTTAAAAACAAGTGATTGGCATTTTTCACACAGAGCAAACACGGGGAGAGATGCGCAGATGCTGGGACAAGTTCAGATGGGATGCTGGAACCATTGAGGCCAGGGAGTGCTGGGCCCCTATGGGGAAGGGGCAAGAAACACACAGAGCAGCAGCTTTAATTTAAATGCAAACATTTTATTTTAAAATGTCTCAGCTGTACACTTCTGCCTGGTAATAAATGTAAAATATAATTTAAGAAGTACGCTTAGAAGTTCCTTCTAAAAGCAGGCCAAGGAGACAGTACAAAACACAAGAGAAAAGTGCACCGGGTTCAAACAACATGCCAGAAGGTCAAACCCACAGGTGAGTGCCTGGTTTGGATCAGCCACAATGCCTTTTACAGGTATATTAGCGATATACCATGCCACCTATGACACTCCTGTGCAGGGAGCAGCACAGCCAGTGGTGCTGCTTGGGTTATACATTACCAGAGGTGATCCCACAGGATTCCCTGGGTTGGCTTCCCCAGGGCTGCAGCTGTACCTGTCTGCTGCTTCATCTCCCCAGACGGGCAGTGTTCCTGCCTCAGCCACGTGCCCCAGTGCAGGCATTACCTGCGTCATGCAGTACATTTCCTAATAGTGCTGGGCTGGTTGCAGTGTTCTCTCCAGAAATACACCCTCCCCAAAAAAGTTTTGGGGAATCATGGAGCACCAGATAGGCCAAAACTGTTTGTGGAACTCCATGCAACTGTTTGTTAACCACAGAACCGTAGAATGGTTTTGGTTGGAAGGGATCTGAAAGATTATCCAGTTCCAATCCCCCTGCCATAGGCAGGGACACCTTCCACTAGACCAGATTGCTAAAAGTTAGTCTTGTCCTCCACTGTGTTTCTTCAGGAGAAGCAGGAATGGCACTTTTAATACTGGACTGTAAGTGGAGTGTAATGGCAGATTATACCCCTTTGGTGATGATGTTATTGGCACCTGGACATTTCTCTTACAGTCAATCTTTTACATGGAGTCACATTAAAATCCTTGGTCATTATTTGTGGTTCTAATCTCAAAGTCTAAAACGGACTAATTGAAAACACTGCACTGTACATGTTATGTAATGCTTCCATACCCTTCTTAATTAAAAAATGAAATTAAAGTTGCAAATTAAAAGTGCGGTTGCACAGTGAAAGAATAAACCCATGTAGGAAAAAATGAAAGAAGCTAAAAAGGAGAAAATTAGTTCCTTGATTATTTGAAAGAGAGACCATATCTAAAGAAAAAAGGATTTGGCATTACAAACATACTTTGCAGCACTAAACTGTTGGTGGCAGCTGGGGGTTGCTTGGCAGTACAGACTCCTGAAGAGAGGATTTTTCCCCAGAAGAGTGACCTTTTTTCTGGTTTTGGGGATTCAGCTGTTCTTAGTGAGTACCCCTATCTTATCAAAGAGGGGGGAGAAATGAGGCTTTGCACTTCTGCCTAACACTGTTCTTTTGGCAAAACTTTTGAAGTATGCCTAAAGAGGAAATAAAGCTACAGACACAGAAAACAGAAAGGATGGAGACAAAAATGTACCATCCTATGCAATCAAAAAGGTGGAAAAGCTAGAGGAGGAAAAGGGAATTGCCTTTAAGGAATAAAGTGTTCTTTGGTTTTGATAAGAAGGAACTCAGGGAGGAGAGGGTGTGAAGAAGAACCCTTTCAGAAGAGGGAAGTTTGTTGACCATGCAGAGGAGGAATCTCCTTAGCTATAGTGAGAGTAGAAACAAAACTGAATACTGCCATTGAGAACTGAGATAACTTTTGCCCTTTTCAAGTTCTTTCTAGAAAGACAAAATTAAAAAAAAAATAAAACCTACAACAGTTGATGCTTGCCTCACCTTATTTCACATTTTAAATCAACACAGGGAGGATACAAATGGTGCAAAACCCTAAAAACAAAAAAAAAGTGAAGGACAAAAAAGAGATTCAGAAGGGAGAGCTCACACCCTCCTGTGGTGCAAAATGAGGAGGTTTAGACCAGAACTAGCTAGATTTTTTAATGCCTTTTAATTGCTGAAATACAATTAATAAGATTAGCCAAGCTGATGTTCTTTCTATTGCCTTCTACCACATCTTTGTTTACCATGATCCTACCAGTACAAATATGAACCGGGAGCTGTCCCTTGAGCTCTGTTGCTCAAAGAAATCTTTAAAAGCTTAGGACTGCATAGTAAGAGCATCAGCTGCACAATTACCAGCAGCAAGAGAGTTAATGCAAACACTGAATTGCCAAAGCTTGGAAAACTAGCCCCAGGAAAGGAACAGGAGCACTTCATGCCTCCTAGAATGATGTTTTCAATCTGGTTGAGAAATACATCTTAGCATTGAAATTACTCAGTCCTTGTTTTCTAGAAATTATTTTTAGCCTGCAAAGTTGCAGAATCAGTTCTACAGAAGAAAAAAGAGGATGTGATTTCAGACCACAGAATTTTTCTGTGTATGAAGAATTAATGTTGTAGTCACAGCATAATTACACCTTGATGGCAATATATCTTTTCTCTTCCCAAAATTTGTCTTTTTTACTTTCCTTCCAGACTACCACTCAAATAATATCTTTGCCAAGCACAAGCAAGTGCTTGGATCTCCAGACTTTCAGGTTGGTTTTTTCAGCAGGACTTTGTGTGTTTAGAATATATTTCAGCCTGTCACTCATGACTTTGTTCAGAGGCATTTCTGATAGCACAATAGGGAAATGTAATGACCAGAACATAATGACAAGAACATGCCAGATGTC